CCAGGTGACCCTGCCTTGGCAGGGGGTTTGGACTGAATGATCTCCAGAGGCCCCTTCCAACCTTGAAAATTCTGGGATTCTCTGAAGTAGTAGCAGTAAATAACCTTGCTCCAACAGGTACCACCACCTGTATAACATGAGCTGACCAGGACACAGCTGGACTGCTCCTCCTCTGCCCACTCACAGCACTCACCCCACACAGAAAACTGGGGTAACAACGGACATGCTGCTCACAAATTAGGGCAACAACAATGGAAACTTCAACTGAAATAGGACTGAGAGTTTGCAACTATGCTGGTTATAATCTGTAGTAATTATTCTTCATTCTGTTGATAAGTTCTAGGCTGGTATTTACTGACAGACAGTAAATACACATGAACAAAACTGGTGTAATTCCAGCATAACAAAAAATTATCCTGTTAGTATTCTACTCACGCTATTTACAACTTCATTGCTATTTTTTTACTGTGACTGGTGGTTTCTACATTGAGTCTTTTTGATTAAATGTTTTATATGCATCATTAGTAAAACTTTCAGCTTTTTAAAATTAATTTTGGATTGTGTGTTGTTCAAATTTATTATTCATTAAAGTATGTAAAGCATCTCCAAAACCTCTTTTACATGCATTCCCTAAACACATATAAATCACGCAATGTGTAAATACACCTAATATAATTAGCACTTTCATTAACGTGTGGTTGTACCATTCATACCTTACAACTGCAATTAGAAAACAAAGAATAAAGTGTAATTAGAATCTGTCAGAACTAACAATATTAAAAATCCTTAATTTTATGTTATTATTAAAATTTAAGACTATTAATACATTAATTTTCACAGTCTTTGCACCTCATTGGAGTCTAAGAATAAGCTAGCTTATTTTCAGTAGTTAATTTTTAATCAGCTCCATGTTTTCACAAATTAGGCCAATTACTCTCCGTTAGCAGAAAATAGTATTAATGAAAATATTTATTTTCATTAATGTTTGTAAAGATCTATTTCTTAATGAAATATAGGCATTAGGTCTAAATGAACCCAAATAGTTTCCATGTATGCAAATTTCTTATCTCCATGTCTACATGAGCTAATAGACTAATTTTTTTTGCAAGGTATGTGCACCAGAACATAAATCTATTATTGAACAAAGCAGCAAATCTGTGTCTTTATGACCAAATGTGTTTTATAGTTGGCTGCTGGCAGCACAACCTGTTGTCACACAGGAGAAACACCGAGAGACTCAGAGAGATCTGACAAGCACAGCAGAGTGATGGACATACAACCATTCAGGGCCCAAGTTTCCCAAAGTGGCCCCTCCAAGTCTCGCTTCTGAAATTGCAGGAATGAAGCACGTCACAGGCTGGGGCTGCCTCCCATGCCACAAATCATCTCCCTCAATTTGCGTTTAAAACTCTTTCATTGAACACGTTTTTGCGCAGGATACGTTGAGTCTATGTTCACTTTTCTACCTGGAATGTGCAGATCTGTCTATCGTTGCACGATTTTCTTAATAAAAATCATGACTTGCCCTTGCCATGTGGTTTCTTGGCAAGGAAACCACAGACTTTGCCATTCCAATCACTGTGATAACGAAGAATACTAGAACAGCTGTTGTTAACTTGGGATCTATATGCGTTGTCTTGTGCAGTTTCAGAGGCAGTGATTTAAAACTATTTTTTTTTTAATTTGCAGGATGACACAAATATCAGTAAGGCCTAGAGGAATGCAATATCTACCACCTCCCAGGGGGAGTTAAGTATCAGGGGTTTGACAGTAACTAGGTAGTTGCCAGATTCTCCAAAAACACCTTGTGCACTCTGTATTTCTGAAAACGCCCCTGCACTCCCATTACTCTCTTCAGGATTCCTAATAGCCCCAGAAATGTATTTGAGCATTTATTTGTAAAATAAAGGATTTTTATTTGACTTTCTTCAGAATTTCCTCTGGCAATTTAATATTAATTAAAATCTGTTGAGCCATATGGTGACTCTTCTTTTTCTTAACAAACATTATGACTTTCGTATTTTCTACCATGATTTTTCCCATTTTTGCCATAACAAACAACAAATCTTAGAGAGCTCATAGCACACAGACATCACTGGTTCAAATATTAATGCAACCACACAGACCAAAAGGGACCACAATAGAAAAATGTTTTCAAAGCATTTTAGACAAGTGAACCTTGTGTGATTAAATATGCACTGTAACAAAATAGACTTTCACATTCATAAATAGAGCAGAGTCACAAAGAGCATGGGTCCTGGCACTCATCTTTTTCTGAGCTGTAAAAAGTTGCCTTTGTATTTATGGTACAGAATTACACATCAATGTTTTCTGTGCCACTCATCATTGCATTTTTTAAATTGCACTATAACTGAGCAATAAATATAATGCATTGATTCCAGATTAGAACTAGATGGAGAGAGAAACAATCTCGCTGAGGCTTCTTCTTGAGAAGAGCGAGAGCAAAGGTAGAGTTTACAACTGTGGAAGCACAGCACTGTGAGTGTGGTTTGGACTGAAACATATTTGAAGAGCAGCTCCTTAAGCAGAAACCCCTGCCATCCATCCATCCATCTCTGCATCCATCTCCCTCCATCTCTCCTCTGCACCAACTGCTGCTTTGCCAGCTTTCTCACTGGCCAGTGCCAAGTGATTTAGCCCCTGCTAAGGAAAAAGGCAAAAGCTGGATCTATCTGGCTTTACTGGATCTGTCAAATCCTGCCAAAATGTGACATCAATATGCCATTGCATCAACAAATTGTGAAATGAATGCACCTGCTTCTGATGCATTAGGAAAAATGCCTGTTCCAATGCACACTATACTATTAATCTCATATCTAACATTTGGATCTTGATAAATTCTACTCACAAATAACATACCGTGAAAAATAAAATATTATGAATAATTACTTCTGAATTAACAATTCTTCTTATTACAAGTGTACTTTTTCATATTTTGTAGGAAAAACTTAAATCATGATGCATGTACTTAGATGTAGAAAAAATAGATATTGCCGCACACTGGTGTTGACAAATTTCCCCCAGCTTCCCCCCTGAGAAAAACACAAAAGCCTTGTACTTAAACCAACAATAAAAAAAGACATTTTCATGTGCTTTAGAAACATTCAGATACTATAAACCTGCACACTAACACGGGAATGGATAATCTGGATCTACTGTAGCCAGAGTGAAAAACTGCACCTTCAAGATTACTAAAAGCTTGAGAGTCTAATAAATCTGTTCAACAAACAGCAAAGGCACCAGGGCTCCAAGTTTAAATAGGACTCGCTTTTTTTCATCTAGACCTAAACTTTCTTCTAAATTGAGCCCAAAGGCAGCCAGATATTTATATCTGCAAAATATGTACTCTGTATTTTGTACTTTAAGTGAAACCACTATAAATCAAGTTTGGTGCTTCCATCTTAGTGCAGTCACCTTTTGTATTACACAGTGAAGTTTTACAGTAATATATGTCTAACATGTATGGACAATCCCAAAGTAGTATTTTAAGCTCATCAGCCCTTAATTGAGGTTTTCAAAGCAGCTTAAGGGATTTAGACAAAAAATACTCATTTCTTATTTCCTTTTATCACCGATACATGGCTAAACTCCTCGGCTGCTCTGAAAATCTCAGTGAACTGGATACATATTCATTGGATGTAAGAGAACTGTCACTTTTGCTATCTATCTAAAAGATAAAACCCTTAAGCTTAAACGAAAAAAATAATTGGATAGATTTTCCTTGTGCCGTCACTGACGAAGTCATGTTCTGCAAAACCCCATTTTTTAGCTGAATGGGAGCAGTTCAAAAAGGCTTATTTAGTCAGCTGAAATGAGAGCTGTGATGATACAAATGTGCTGGTTTCAGGAATAAGAAATCTATTTTGCATTGCTCTAGTGTTGGAACATGCTTAAGATTGGATTGCTCTGGTCTATCAAAAGCATCATAAAGTTTTGTATAGTTTAATGGTAAAACTTGGCAGCTCTGAGCCAAGAAATTACAAAATCTAGCAAATTCCAGATGCTGGATGTTTTCTGAGTATAGACACACTGGGTAGGACAGAAATTTGCAACGAAATTGAAGCAGCTGCTCCTTTTAGCAGATTAGAAGTTAAAGGTTTGAGCTGGGGGAAGAGGAGTAAAAAGCTGGATCCAAGATGATGCAAGTGTCTCCTGCAGGATTTAGCCAGGCCTGTTGTGCCAGTTTGCAAGGTCAGAATTTTGCATATACAGGCCAGTGCCAGATTTTTGCCTATATAAGAGTGTCTTTGGTTAGCGCCGAAAAACGCTACCAGGCAATGCTACCGAGCCAGAATGAAAGTCTCCTGATCCTTTCTGGGAATCACAACCCATCACGTTTGCTTTTCATACGCACAGCTCAAGGTAGGGCCCGGCCCGAGCATATCACTGAAATCCGGTTAATTGCGGTCGGGGAGCGGCGGGGAAGCGCTGGGAGCGAGCCCCGCTTTGGAGGCAGCGACCATTCCCGGGATGCGCTCCCTGCGCGGTCCCTCTCCCTCCACGCCGGGAGGTAAAACTCGCGGCTCCGTGTGACACATCCAGGTTTTGCAGTGTCCTGGCTCCGGGACGCTCCGATTTTTGTTGTTGTTATTATGCTTTAGTAGGGGTTTTTACCGTGTTTTTTTTTCTTTCTTTTTTTTTTTTTTTTGTTTAATGCTTGCAGTGGGAGCCGGCAGCCCCCGGCGGGGCGGTGGGACCGGGGCAGCGCGGCTCCCCCGGGACCCCGGCGGGCTCCGCCCGATGGCCGCGGGGCTCCGCGCGTTCCCTGGATGCTGCTCTGCGGAGGGAGGGAGGGAGGGAAGGAGGGAGGGGAGAGGGGAGGAGAGAAGGAAGGAGGGGGGGGGGAGGCGGGGGCCGGGGCCGCCAGGCCGGGGCGGCTGCAGCGGGACGAGGCGCGGAGCGGAGCGGAGCGGGCGGCGGGCGAGGCCCGGCAGCAGCAGCGGCCCCGCTCCGCCCCGCGGCGCTCCCGCCCGGCGGCCCCGCGGCCGCCCGGGTCCGCCCGGGTCCGCCCGGGTCCGCCCGCCTCTCCAGCACCCCGCCGGGAGGAACAGCTCCCGAGCAGTTCGCAGCTCCGCATCCGAGAGGGAAACACAGCCGGAGAGGCGCGGAGGGGAGAGGAGAGCAGCGAGCAGCTCTGGGTTACTGAAACCAGTACAGGAGCTGCCAGGACAAACTGAGCTTTTGCCAAAAATAGCTCTTTCAGGGTTAGGCTTTTTTTTTTTTTTTTCCTTTCTTGTAGTCGAGCGCCCAGCAGAAGTGCCCCAGCCCCAGCGCACACCCAACCTGTCGGCCTGAGGGGCAGCTGAAGCAGCCAGAGCAGAATGTACCAGGGACACATGCAGGTAAGCGGCTCCGAGCAGGATGCATGGAGAGGGGAAGCCTCGGAACGGACTCCGCTGAAACGCGGCTCCGTGAAGTTTGAATGGGTTGAGCGGAGGGGAGATGCCACCCTGGCACTGTGCAACAAGTGACCTGGTGCAATGTGACAGTGGCACTCCAGCTCAGGGGTAAAGGGAGCAGCTTGCCGGGGGCTGGCGCTGCTCGAGGGGGAGGATGGCAAAAGGGTTCTGTCAACTTTGTAACTAGGTGAAGTTGTGTGTGTATTTATCCATGTATGATGCCTGCTTGTTCAAACAGATTCAAGGGAGTATTCCAGGGCAAACATTGTTGTGGCATGCCTTAAGTGACACATGTCTCCTGCCATCCTCTTGATGCATCTCTTCCTGTATGTCAAGTGAAGGGCAAACAATAAGGGAAAAGACAGAGCACTTGCTTTGCAAAATCTGCAAAGGTTTCACACCACACTAAAACCGTCGATTTGCACAGTGCGTTGTGTTTAAAGGTGATGGATTTGTATTCTTCCCTCCCAACACGGGATGAGGATTGATTTTGCTAAGCCCCAGAATGACTTTGTAGAATGAATTCAAACACATGGCTAAGAGACTTTAACATTTTAGGCAGAAATATTTTCTCATGATCCTATTGATCCTACATTGCCTTGGCAGAATGCGCCTCTCCTCGATAAAACATACAACTGCCTTGAACGTGATGGCTTTAACCTTGACTCCTGCTCTCCTTCACATGGCTCTTCCTTGGAAAGCCAAGCCTGTTTTGAAGGAGGAAGTGCCAAAGTGGAGTAAAGGTTTACACTGACATCCCAAATTTATTTCTTTGCTTTGGACCCAATCTGGCTTTGTGTTCACTGCCAGGAACAATGTAATGCCTTTATCACGTACAGTGGCACCAGCCTTGCATGTGGTGGTGTTTGCACTAAGGCTGTTTACAGAGGAACTGCAGCCTTACCAAGTGCAAGCTGACCACTTCTGTTTGGTGTGATTCTGCCCAGCATTTAAATATTTGCTGAATGATCACCGGTGACATTAAACTTCAGTCAATGTCAGACACAGGGTTGTGTGCGATATATGTGAGTTCAGTGAGGACTCTGATTCAGCACTGCTTTCCAGAACTGAATTATACCAGTTACTCTTTCATGTTTGTGCTATCTGATCCAACAATGATAAATAATGTGTCATAATACTGCTTGTAATAGGAGAGCAAACAGGTTTGAACAAGATATGTAATCGATGGAGGGAGTATACGTATTACCATTTATTTCTGAAAATAAGGTTAAAACACAAAACCAATCCTATAACTAATGATACTGAGTTGGACATTGCCAAATAGGTATTTACACCCTTAAGAAAGCAGAAGTTCTATGCTATGAGTTATAGATTGCAACAAATGTACAACACTTTATAAAAGGAAATCTAACGGAATCTTGAGGTGCCTGTCAGCACTTTAAATTTTCTGAGTCATTAAAAGAGTGAAATCAAACTTGCAATAGGAGAATAAGGTCAAAACATGCAAATGTATTGTGACTGATATCCTTTAATTTTTTTCTTTCAAAATATTTTGATTTTTCTAGCCCAAATATAATCAAATTCTAATCAAATTCTCTTAAAACGTTTGCTGAACTAAAAATACTATTCTTATTGAGTACACTTACCATTGTTAAAAATAAAAACCCACCTGAGTTCATCACCCAAACTTTTTAATATATCTGTGTCCTAACAGGACATTAATGTTCTTTAGATAATACCTAAAAAGCCTAAAGCCTTAGGAGAGATTTTTATGTTTAATTATATCTTTAATTAGAGCCTTTAAGTGAGTTAGACAAAGACAATACAGGGCTGATTTCTTTGCAATGAAATGATCTATTGTAATGTTTATTAAACCATGTTGGAACATAAACTGTCAGAGTTACCATACAGTATTAAACTATACACTAAATACTGTATCAAACCACACACTATTAAAAATGTAGGCACATTCTAAGCATTACAGGTCCTTTCTTGCTATCCAAGACTTTCTTGTAAGTCTTCTACTAATTTAGCGAAAATTAATTGCAATTACAGCCAATCTAAAATAAGGTGAATCATAAAACCAGTCCAAACTTGGGTAGATCAAGTCAGACACATAAGTCAGTACCTGGACTCCTAAACAAAAGTAATCTCATTTTTAAAGCACTGAATACTTATAGAACTTATGTTTCTTTGAGCGAAACTGGAGTATTTAGCTGGGTACTTGACTTAATACATCCAAATGCAAAGTGATGTGCCAATATATAATACGTGTTCCTACATTCTTGAAAGTTATAGTGATCAAATGTAGGATTTGCCAATCATAATTTCCCTTTTTTCTAGTGTTCTGTTCTCAAATGCAAAAGTAAAATCTGCATAATTAATTCCATAGTCCAATTACTTTAAAAGATGTTTACAGAGCCTATGTTTTACTAATAACCTGCTGTAACTCAGCTAATTCTTGGAATACTTCTGAAAGGGGATAACATTAGCAACTGTAACAAGGTAATAAGCATAATTACAGAGATTGGGAATTGACCTATCTTGGATAGGCATCAAGCATTATCAGCTTCAGTGGGGAATTTCTGACTAAGCTCAATAAATTCTGCAAGTGTACATGAAATATACTTTGCATTTAAGCACTGCTGAAGTCCAGCACCTAAAGTACTTTACAACAGGCCACAATGTGTGTGTCTCTTCTTAATTCTTAGTGTATAGTACAGATTCAGTTTGTTGGATCGTTTTTTTTTTCTGAATCCCAGAAAGTCACTTTATTCATTCCGAAGACGTAGGTTTAGATTTCCCTCTTACTGCTTTACGAATGAAGCCTCACAACACAGAAATACTAGAGAGGTCCTAAGCTCAAATTCCAAAGATAGCTGAAAAAGAATCTAAAAAGAAGGTATGTCCTGTCTTTCCATTTCCAGGTACCTTTCTGTGAGATTAGCTGTTGCGTTACTTGGGCACCACGCGCTTCCACATAAAACACGGGTAGAAAGGAGAAGCTGCCTTCCACAGGCCAGCACCACAAACAGAAATAAGATGCAATACAGTGCCACAGGAGCTCTTTTAAAGCTATTTCACCACCATAATAGGCTTAAGCATCTGATTTAGCCCTATTTACCAACCGGTTCAGTTTATGCAGTGACCATCTAAAGCAGAGCAGGGACTGACATCGGTCCTAAGGCACGAGCTGCCTCCTGGAGCCTGAGCCCTCAAGGTGAGGCTTTTGCATGAGAAAGAACTTCAGATGAGGTGCACAGATTGTTTGTCTTCAAACACACCACTTCAGTTATGTCAGAAGTCCTATTTAATTCAGTAAATGTAGTCTCTGACAGGATGAAACCTGATGGATACTGGAGCACACCCTGGGATTCACAGATAAGACGAAAGAACCAGGTCTGGATGCTAAACTGTACAAGGTGAAAGAGAGAGTATTTCTCTCTTGGGACAATGTGTGCAATCCAGTGTGCTGTTTTTCATCTTCTTCAACAAAACAGGAGCAGACCAGATGGAAGCAGAACATAAGCTGAATTCAACCCCCAATCACTGCTGTAAAATGTCTGTCATTTTAACAACCAACAATAAGAAGTTTTAAAGTTTTTACAGTATATTATATACCTGGTATCAGTCCCTCCCTTTGACTTTTATGAAAGTTCTATAAATGGGTGGAGGGTAAATTGCAATCATTTTCAGCAGCATTTGGCTTCCTATGAAGTTCAAAATAAATGCCTTCAAAACTGTTTGCCTTGATGCTGTATATAGTCAGCTTTCCCCAGCACAAATGCTTGAACAGAAGAAGTGCTTTGCCAAATGTTGGCATGGGATTTTATATATGGCAGCGTTATGTTTCAAGATGGCTTAATTTAGACAAAGCAGAAATCTTGACCACACATGGCTATCAGAGTTCCTCTGGCACTTTCTCGCAAGAACAGGCTTGTTAGTCACGATGCCTTGGCCAAGTTCCAGATCAGATAGTTTGTCTTCTAAACTTTTAATTGCATAGACAATCAATTTCATTATCAAAGATATTTAATATTCTACCATTGGCATTTCATATTCACATGAAATAAGCCATATTCATCATTCACATTTCAGTAAGATTTCAGTTCTCAAACACGTACCTATATGATAGTAGTGGGTCAACAGAAAAATAAGTATGCGCACGTGGAAATTCTTGCAAGATGAAACATCAAGGGCTTCACATGTTTTAGTGGGCCTGAAAAGTGTTGCTAAATATTTTATTAAAAACATTTTTGAACTGATTTCTCAACACTTAAGACACATCTAACTCACTGGGAAAAAGGGAAACAGAACAGTCTCAAGATTCACTGCAGATGCAAGTCACATTTCAACTTACTTGGCAACCTATTAAAAATACTGTAATATTGTTGGCTACCTAAACTAAATGAACCCCAAGCTATTAATCAGTTATGAATAAGAAAAAAGTCAAATGCATTTTTAGGTTAATAAAACAGCTCACAAAGAATACACACAATGTAAACTTAAATTAATGCTAAATTCCATCTCTGCTCAGCTGTTAAGTTCAACATAAACTTAATAACTTCAAGCTACAAAATTCTAATAATGTGGGCACATAGTTGGAATGCTAACTGATCCGTAGTGATGGCAATGAACCATAACTCCGAGCCTAGCTAAAATGCTTTTAAGATAAACTGATAATTTTTTATTATTACAACCCTTTTCTAAAAGTACTCTCAACAGTAGGGCAGTCTTTATGTTGATGTGTTTTCCATTTTGTCTTGATATTTTCCAATTAATTCACTAGCAGCTTTACAAGTTTTGAAAAGCAGATTATGAAGTGCTTATAAATGAAAAAAGCTAAAAATAATGAGCTCACTTTCATAGAAGGAAGTTCATTCAAAGAAAGTTGGTGATACACTGCGTTTGGCGAAGGCGCATTCCGAAACTGCACAAATTGTGAGCATTTGTAATGCTGGTAGAGAGAAGTGTTCCTTGAA